TTTTATTTTCAGTGGTTTTTTTTTGTCTCGTTCAAAAGTTGTTTTTTATTTTCAAGTAGTACTTAAGTTGTCTTATGTTGTCGTTGGTGATGTTAGTTTTTTCCGTATTTCTCATGATGTACTTTTATTTTTTTTATGAAGAATATAAAATTCCCCAGTCTTCAATTGGATCCAAGATGAGTAATGAAGATTTATGCCTTTTGGATAGTGCTACAACTCACACAATATTAAGAGAAAAGAAATTTTTCTCTTATTTGGTTATGAAAAAGGCTTATGTTAATACAATATCTGGTAGTACAAAGTTAATTGAGGGCTCTGGAAGAGCGGCCTTATTACTACCTGGAGGAACGATATTAACTATTAATAATGCATTGTATTGTAGTAAGTCTCAAAGAAACTTGTTGAGTTTCAAAGCTATTCGCCAAAATGGCTACCATGTTGAGACCTCTAACGAAGGAAAGGTTGAATACCTTTATATTACTACAATAAAAGCGGGGAAAAAATGTGTGCACGAAAAATTACCCGCATTTTCTTCTGGGTTGTACCACACAAATATTGGTGTGGTTGAATCACATGCCATAGTAAACAAAAGGTTTACTACTTCTAACGATTTTATCATTTGGCATGACCGGTTGGGCCATCCCGGTTCTAACATGATGCGCAGAATAATAGAGAATTCAAATGGGCACACATTGAAGAATAAGAAGATTCTTCAATTTAAGGAATTCTCTTGTGCTGCTTGTTCTCAAGGAAAATTGGTTATTAAACCATCAGCAGCTAAAGTTGGGATTGAATCCCCTGCATTTCTGGAACGTATACAGGGTGATATATGTGGGCCTATACACCCTCCATGTGGACCATTCAAGTATTTTATGGTCTTGATAGATGCATCTACAAGATGGTCACATGTGTGCTTATTGTCAACTCGTAATATGGCATTTGCGAGATTGTTGGCCCAAATAATAAGGTTAAGAGCACAATTTCCAGATTATGCAATTAAGACAATTCGTCTTGATAATGCTGGTGAATTTACATCTCAGGCCTTTACAGATTATTGTATGGCCATTGGAATAAAAGTTGAGCATCCGGTTGCTCATGTTCATACTCAAAATGGTCTAGCAGAATCATTGATTAAACGACTTCAACTAATAGCTAGACCATTGCTAATGAGGACAAAACTCCCCCTTTCAGTGTGGGGACATGCTATTTTGCATGGAGCAGCACTTATGCGCATAAGGCCAACCAGTTATCATAAAGTCTCCCCCATTTATTACAGTTGGTTTTTGGTCAGGAGCCAAATATTTCCCATCTAAGAATTTTTGGTTGTGCAGTATATGTTCCAATTGCTCCACCACAATGCACAAAGATGGGTCCCCAATGAAGGTTGGGAGTATATGTTGGTTATGAATCTCCTTCTGTTGTTAAATATTTGGAGCCTATGACAGGAGATTTGTTTACAGCTAGATTTGCTGATTGTCATTTTGATGAATTAGTTTTTCCAATATTAGGGGGAGAAAATAAACAGCTAGAAATAGAGATAGATTGGAACGTATTATCTCTATCTCATTTGGTAATCCTCGGTACAAAAATCAATGTGAACAAGAAGTTCAAAAGATTATTTATATGCAAAATGTTGCAAATCAATTGTGAGATGCATTTACTAACCTTCCACGGGTTACTAAATCGCATATTCCAGCTGTAAATGCTCCAATTCGAGTTGATGTCCCAGCTGGATAGTATGATGATGCAAATGAGTCTAGGCCACGCCTTAAACATGGTAGACCAATTGGTTCCAAGGATAAGAATCCCCAAAAAAGGAAAGGAGCAGATGATCAAGTTGATCATAACATAGAGGCAATTGCTCAAGAGGAACATAAGGACATAGCAATTGATAAGACCTCACAGGAGGTTCTAGTACCTGGAAATAATGAAAATGAAGAGATCTCAATAAGTTATGTCTCTACAGGAAAAAGGTGGAACCGAAATAACGTTGTGGTTAATAACAATTTTGCATATAATGTTGCAATTGAAATAATGCAACAAGATGAGGATCTTGAGCCAAAATCTGTCGATGAATGTAGACAGAGAAATGATTGGCCAAAATGGAAAAATACAATTCAAGCGGAATTGGCTTCACTCGAAAAACGTGAAGTTTTCGGACCAATAGTCCGAACGCCTGAAGGTGTCAAGCCAGTGGGGTACAAATGGGTTTTTGTGCGAAAACGAAATGAGAAAGGTGAAGTCGTAAGATATAAAGCACGACTTGTGGCACAAGGGTTTTCGCAAAGGCCTGGCATTGATTATATGGATACATATTCTCCTGTTGTAGATGCAATTACCTTCAGGTATCTAATAAATCTGGCAGTCCATGAAAAGCTTGATATGCGATTGATGGATGTTGTCACAGCCTACTTATATGGCTCACTGGATAATGAAATTTTTATGAAAATCCCTGAAGGATTTAAAGTTCCTGAAGCACATAAAAGTTCAATAGAAACTTGTTCAATAAAGCTTCAGAAATCCTTATACGGATTGAAGCAATCAGGGAGGATGTGGTACAATCGCCTTAGCGAGTATTTGCTAAAGGAAGGGTACAAAAATGACCCTATTTGCCCTTGCGTCTTTATTAAGAGGTCTGGATCTGAATTTGTCATCATAGCTGTGTATGTTGATGACTTGAATATCATTGGCACTTCTAAAGAGCTTCCAAAGGCTATAGAGTGTTTGAAGAAAGAGTTTGAAACGAAAGATCTCGGTAAGACAAAATTTTGTCTTGGCCTACAAATTGAGCATGTACCAAATGAAATTTTTGTCCATCAATCAACATATACTGAAAAGGTTTAAAGCGATTTTACATGGATAATGCACATCCATTGAGTACCCCAATGATTGTGAGATCGCTTGATATAAATAAAGATCCATTTCGGCCTCAAGAAAATGATGAAGAGCTCGTTGGTGATGAAACTCCATATCTTAGTGTAATTGGGGCACTGATGTATCTTGCTAACAATACTCGACCAGATATTGCTTTTGTAGTGAGCTTATTAGCAAGATTCAGCTCCTCCGCAACAAGAAGACATTGGAATGGTGTTAAGCATATATTTAGATATCTTCGGGGAACCATAGATATGGGATTGTTTTATTCTAATGAATTCAAGTCAGAAATGATTGGCTATGCCGATGCAGGTTATTTGTCTGATCCACATAAAGCCCGATCTCAAACAGGCTATTTGTTTACATATGGAGGTACTGCTATATCATGGCGTTCAATGAAACAAACAATAGCCGCCACATCTTCAAATCATGCTGAGATAATAGCCATTCATGAAGCTAGTCGGGAATGTGTTTGGTTAAGATCAATGACTCAGCATATTCAGGAAATATGTGATTTTCTTATGAAAAAGGATAATCCAACAATACTATATGAAGACAATGCTGCTTGTATTGCTCAACTGAAAGGAGGATACATCAAAGGAGACAGAACAAAGCATATTTCACCAAAGTTCTTTTTCACGCATGATCTTCAACAAAATGGTGAAATTAATGTTCAACAGATTCGTTCATGTGAAAATTTGGCTGATCTGTTCACTAAGGCTTTACCAACCTCAACATTTGAGAAGTTGAGACAGAAGATTGGAATGCGACGTCTTCGAGAAATAAAGTGATATTTTCATGAGGGGGAGTAAGATACGCGCTGTACTCTTTTTCCCTTAGCCTAGGTTTTGTCCCACTGGATTTTACTGGTAAGGTTTTTAACGAGGCAGCAAATAAAGCGTATTAGAGATATGTGTACTCTTTTTCCTTCACTAAGATTTTCTCCCATAGGGTTTTTTCTTAGTAAGGTTTTAACGAGGCATATTATCTATTTTTTTGGACATCCAAGGGGGAGTGTTACAAAATATTTAGTAAATGTGGATGTCCACTACTCCCACTACTTTCACCTATGATGTAAATTACCTCCCACTACTCATCACCATTATGATTGTAACTCCCACGCCTCCATAACCCCTCCCCATGATCTTCCCCCATGATCTCAATTGTTAATGCCATGTTTAAGACAATGATTTTGTAACCTTCATATGTAATAGTATAAATAGAGGCATGAAATGTGAGATGGAATACACTTGAACACTTGATGAAATAAGAAAGTTATCTCTTCTTCTCTTATTCTACTTATCTTCTTGTTTTATATTGTTACTTTGAGCTACATTTTTTTAATAGGTCTTGATTTTTTTATGAACAAACTATTAAGGTAAAAAATAAAAAATATTGTTCATAGGGAAAGCAAGGGATAACACTTGTTAAACTTGAAGGTTTGTCCACAGTAAAAAATAAAAAAAAATAAAAAATCAAGAATGACACAAAAGTGTCCTATTTGTGCAGGCAAATCACCCGAATTGATACCACCCCTTGACATGTTTAGTGAAGATCAAGTGATCAACACCTAGATTATGTTATTTTATCAAGTAAGGTTCATTAAAGTAAGTGAACTACTTAATTTTACATTTAATAAAGGATGATTTTGAAGGGGAGCCTTGGAGCAACGGTTAAATTGTTTCTGTGTGACCTATAGGTTACGGGTTTGAGCCGTGGTATCAGCCCCCTTGGGGTGCGGCCCTTCCACGGACCCTGCGTGAATGCGGAATGTTTTGTGCAGGTGGCTGCCTTTTATTTTTTATTTTTATAAAGGATGATTTATTTCATTTATTTTGGCATACATCACATTCTTTATGAAATCTCTTGCGCTTCTGATATACTATGTTGAATTGTATGAATTCTCATAATCAAATCATAGTCTAGCCCTATTAATTAGAAGATAAGATCATTTCAACATATGAGAACCATGATGCATAAGCACATATCTATTAATAGTCCACCATTTGATCAAAATTTGTTATCATACAAAGAGCGCTAGTATTTTAGTATTTAAGTGTATAGAAAATAAAAAGAAGCTATAATAGAGAAAACAAATATATATATATATATATATATATATATATATATATATATATATATATATATATATATATTAGCTGCAGAGGTAGTTAAACCATATTGTATATCATAGTAACATCATATTTCTAATTATTTTTAGGAGGATGATGCCTTGGTAATTTGTAATCTGCAGTAAATACTACATATCCACCCATCTTTTTCTGATCTCCATCCAGTGAAATCAAACGTCTTGTTCTTGTAATCTCTTGGCCTTTCACATTTGCAATATTTTCTTGCTTGCTTTCTTCAATAATATTTTCTTTCATTTTCTCGGAAAATGCCAACTTTCGTCCACTCAACTTGTTTTCTCTTATTATAGCTGCTGCATGCATCCGATCAATGTTTGACTATCGACCAAAAATCCGAAATTGGGTAATTAGAAAATGAGTTTAAATTTTATACATGAGTCTGATAACGTAAAATCATTTTCTTAAAACAAAATCAGGTTATTTAAAAACTTTTACACTATTAGGCCATCTAAAAATTAACTATAGGTAACCATCCATAAAAAACAACATTAGTAACCTGTAAATAAGTCATACCTTTAGAAAAAAATATTTACATAACCTAAAAATGTGCAGATGATTGAAACATTCTGGTTGAAACGAAGAGCTAGTAGTTAAAAGTAATTTCATTATGATATACAAAATAGAAAATGATTGAAACGGAATGAAAATTACGTATACAAACAAACCTCACTGTTTGGGATGAAGTTGCATTTCTTGGTTGCAATATTGCTACCTACACAGAAAAATCAATAAAAAATATTTTGTTCTTAGTTTTTAAGTAATGACATTGACAAGGAATAATTAAAACTCATTTTTTCCGCAAAAGCTAGCTAGGATATAGAAAAATACAACAACAACGATCCAGTTAAATCCCCTAGTGGGGTCTGGGGAGGGTAGTGTGTACGCAGACCTTACCCCTACCCCAAGGGAATAGAGAGGCTATTTCTGAAAGACTTTCGGCTCAATAAAACGAAAAGAGACAATATATCAGTGCCATCAAAAGAAACCATTAAACAAATAATAGCATCACCAGATTTAGAAAATAGATGAACGACAAAACAATAACCAGTAGAGGATATTGAAAAATAGTGAAAGAAATTACCTTGGTAGGAAATTGTGTAAGAGAGACTTTGAGCAATGAAGATTAGGAGCAATAGTAAAGTTATAATTCGAATAGGTACTGACATTGTAACAAGTTTCTCTGATTTGGGGTATGTTTGTTTTTCTTTTCCAAATATCCAAAGAAAACAGGAAGTCGACTATATAGGGAAAGCACATGTACACAAGTCAAAGATTTGGTACAAAGTACACAAACATTAAAAACTTCTACCATTCCCAAGTCAAAGTAATAAGATTAGGGTTCCCAAGAATAATTTTAACCTTCAAATCCAAGTTTAACAAATAAATAAGTTTACACAAGGAGACCAAATTTACTGGCATGCATTCCCATGGTATATTTTGGTTTAAAAATTGGTGTTGATCCATGTGGCAGTCATATTTGTAGTACTAGGATCTCGAGACTCTTGAAATTACCATAAAATTTTGAAAAAAAAAAACTCCCATAAAATTCATTACTCCCTCCGTTCAATTTTACTTGTACACTATGGACTTTGTATACCCCTTAAAAAATAATAAATGAAGTGCATAATTTATCATGATACTCATATTAATTCATGCATATTTTAATGGGTTTGGAAAAATAATTTGAAATGAGCAATTAATATTGTGGGTATAACGGGAAAAAAAAATTGCATTCTCTTGATATGCTAAAAATGACAAGTAAAAAAGTTAAAATCTATTTTTAGAATATTGGACGAGTAAAAGTAAACGGGGGGAGTAGTCATTTTTTGACGGCCTGAATTCTCGACAACTAAACATTGACAAAAAGTGTGAAATAACTAGCAAGAGTTAACTAAGTTTGTTGGATGAGTATTTTTTCACATGGGAACCTCCTATCGATTTTCCTCACCAGCAGCCTCCTCAGTCAAAGCTCGTCACTCAAGGTTTGCCTAGTACGACTTACATTTCCTGTGTGGTTTGCGAGCTATTGTACAGTGAATCATATTACCCAGTACACACCAGAAAGATAGCGGCGACGGATTTCTCTGGCAATTTATAGAAAGAGTGAAATCATATGATCAATTTGATTTTGTGGGTAAGAGCTATTTTTTAAAACTTTTTCGGGATTCAAATATTAATGGTTTAGTTGATTGAATTTATTTTAGTAAGGAGATATATAAGGAGTAATACAGACAGTATTATTTATAACTAAAGCTATTAAATGTCGTTCTTAGGAACGTGAAAAAAAAAACTAATTATATGGACAGGATGAAGTAGTTTTTAATTGAAAAAACGTCCTAAGTTTATTGTACTCTGGGATCATCATTCTTGTTGTCAGCCAATTGTCTCATATTTGCTCTTAATTTAGGGGAGGTTCAACGTTGTCTTGGTGAACTATACTGTCAAAATAGTACTTCAAAAAGAATGATTCAAATTTATCATTTTACTTTTGATTATGGGTTAAAATTACCATTGGTCATACTTTAAGTTGGAATATCGTTAGGGCTAAGAACAATATTTGATATAATATATTTGCTAACAGTAAGGGTGTATAACAACATTAGCGGATCTACATGGTCACTCGTGGGTGCTTACTTTTGGCCAAATTTAATAAATTTTTTGCATACGTAATTATAAAAAATATTTGGATAAACATTGATTGAGCACCTATAATTAAACTCATTTTCGTTTTCTTTCAGAACTTTTATCGGAGATCAGCTATGACTTTAAGACCTAGATCCGCTGTTAGTAATCTGTATTTGTAAAATAATTCTGGAGAAAATAAAATAACATAAACAGAAATATAAATGAAATAAAAAAAATAAATTCGAGCCCACTGAATTCACAGTGTTTCCTTAAGGAATTTAATCCCCTCCTAGTACCCAAGGTTATGGATTATTTCCTCCCAGGATAGAACGATTACACACTGGTGTAGTGGTACTTTAAACCCCAGTGTTTCAGTGAACACAAAGTTCGGTAGCAAATCACACTTACTGTTGCTTTCTTATGAAGTTAAAATATGCAGAAGAAAGGAGAAGAACTCAAATTCGTATGAAAAATCTGAGAGAATGAACTTGTATTTATAGCCAAAGTTGGGCTGAAATCTGAAGGGGCGCAACTCTTCAGAATGGTTGTTTTTGCAAAACGGCCAAAGAGTAAATGCCATAATATAAATGGCTATTTACTCAACAATAAAGAGGGAAAATTGAAGGGTAGTTAATTTTCTGCTACCAAAACAGAAAACTGAAAATTGGATAACTGAATTGGATTTAATATTAATAATTATTTTAATATTAATATTTTGTTGTTAAACCAAATACTTAATAACATTTCTCTCAATATTTACTATTAACAAATAAATTTGGTCCAAAAATGAATCAATCGGTCGACCAAAGCCGAAGCCGAAGCCGAGCGAGCGACGACGGCGACGGTGACGGCGCGAGACTTGCCTTCTTTTCAACTCTTTATGAACTAGAAGAAGAACAATTGCTTATATACCCATCAAAAACCTTTTCCTCTTCCCATATGGGACAATCAAGGAGGGAAACTCAAATATTTTATTTTTCCCTCCATTTTCTATTCACCCTATTTTAAGCATTAATAGCAAAAAAAGCCCAACATCCGCCACCGTGTAACGTTAAAATTCATGGTATAGCCAGTTTTCACACTGGTCAATGAAAAATAGCCAGCGTTTATCAAGTCAATGAAAAATAGCCACTATTTTACTGCAACAGGGACCGGTCCAGTATAATATACGGGAGTTCTGGTGTATTTGATTTGCGGGAGACTGGAGCACCAGTGCTCCAAACTCCAGTATATTATACTGGAAAATTATACTTGCTGGAACTCCCGTAAAATTTGCGGGAGTTCCAGCATAATTATGCTTGAACTCCCGTAAAATTTGCGGGAGTTCCAGCATAGTTATCCTGGAACTCCCGTAAAATTTACGGGAGTTCAAGCATACTTATGCTGGAACTCCCGTAAAATTTGCGGGCGTATTTTTCCGATTTTGAACAGTGTTTTTGCTCAGATTTAAAGTGGCTAAATTTCGATGACTTTTGAAACTTGGCTATTTTTCAACGACTAATAGTAAATTTGGCTATTTTTGAATTTTCCCCCGTGTAACAGTAAATTACCTTTCGTACAATAAAGAGGTACTTTAGCCATTTTTAATGGAGTTTTGTAGATCGAGGTGAATGAATGGTTAGAAAGTGGAGGTTTGAAATAAAATGTACTTGGGGATGGGAAATGTATACTATAACGTGGAGAGTAAGATACGAGTATTTCGAGCTTGTCTGCCTCGTCCATGCATTCAACGAGAATTTATCAACTTATTTTTTTTTTTCTTTCTGATATTGCCGAGGCGAGGCCGCCTAATGGTCCAACTCGCCATTTTCCATGTGTTTTCTCTTTGTGAATGAATTCTCCCTCGGTAATTGCAAAAGCAAGGGGTAGGTGGGTAGTGTTATAAGCTCGTTAGTAATCTATATTCGTGTTATGAAACAATAAATGAAGAACAAGAGTATTGCAGAGAAAAATAGAGAGAGAATTCTTATTGAATTTTGGGATGAATTACAATGGAATAGAACCCTCTATTTATAGGGAGATGGTGACTTAGCCACCAAGTAATAAACCCTAGAATCTCCCTAAATATAGACATTCACCATAAATAAAATTCTATTTATAACACTCCCCCTTGAATGTCTATTCAACAGATAATGTGCCTCGTTAAAACCTTAACTAAAATAAAATCCAGTGGGAAAAAAATTCTAGTAAAGGAAAAAGAGTACACTTATCTAACAATACGCCTTTTGGTTGCCTCGTTAAAAACCTTACAAGGAAAACCCAGTGGGACAAAACCTTGTAAGGGAAAAAGAGTACAACGCGTATTAAGTCCCCCTGATGAGAGCATCAATTCACATCCTTAAGCATTTGCATTCCAATCTTGTGAACCATCTTCAAAAGATCTTTGGTAGAGATTTGATGAACAAATCAGGCATATTAACTTGAATGAATATATTGCACCTTGAAATCATCATTCTGGATAGAGATGGATTGTCTTCATATGATCTTGTTGGAATCGTCAGTTCAATATCTTCACATAGAGGTGAAAACTCTTGCTATCATATTATCATGCATATAGTTATAGCAAGATATATTTGTGCACAAATTGCATTGAGGATGTAGTACTTCATGATCAAGAATTGTATATGCTTCAAGCGATTTAAATCCTTCAGGGTTTGTTAAGTCATATAAGCCATATAATAGACTTTAGATGCATATCAAGTTTTCATGTCATGCTAGACATATAAGATATCAAAAACTGATTGCACATATCATTGGCTTCATACTTTCAAGTGTTTGAACTGAAGGTCCAAAACTACATGTCTTTCGTATAAAACAAATTCTATTCGAATTGTGTCTCTTTCATTTGGCCAGTATTTTTGTGTCTATATTCGACATACTTAAGATCCTCATCTATACTTAGCGCTAACATAGATGTCGTCGACGAACATTTTATATCGGTTTCAATATTTTTTCATAAAGACATAACATAGAGATCACTTCATTCATTTCAGGTACCTAAACCTCTCCTGAGATTTAATGAAGTATTATGTCATGTAATCTTCTAGATCACTTGCCTCCTTTATTATGATCATTTTGATCATTTGCTCATCTTCTTTATCAAGAAGTTTATTTGAAACCGATTTGTCTATATGCTTTAAGCGTACTATAGACTTTGTCCTTCTAGGACTTATTCTAATAGGAGCATTTGCAATGAGAATATATAGTTACTTTCTTTGGGTCAGCAAATGCACCCAGCATGCTTTGCAATATATTGCACATGAATTATCCTTTATGAACTTCAAGTTCATATTATCTTATTCGAGGATCGAGATGTATAAATAATAATTCATTCCATGTAACTTTTTCTCAACTGTTTATCATGTCTCCCCCTCATGTTGGAAAAACTAACTTGTTACCTCAACTTTGAGAATCCACCTTTGTGCGTTATGGTGTTAATCAAAATATACACCGCACATCAATAATAATAAGATGGAATTATTTGGTTCCTGACCCTGAACCACTTGTGAGGGGAGAAAATAATATACTTTGGTATATAACGTATATCAAACTGATATACAAAAATTTGTTCTCATAAGCAATAGTTTAGCTATTAAGTGGAGGCACT